ATGCTTCACGAATTCTGAATATAAAAAGATATTCTTGCATGTAAAAAGATATTATAATATATAGTATATATAAAATAAATTAATAAAAAATCCTTCTCTGAGCGAAAAATTACGATACTAATTATCATTATGAAAATAATTATGAATTATCATTATGAATATAATTATGAAACATGTTTAGTACAAGGTACCCTACTTCACTATCTCATTATGAAAATAATGAAGGTTTATTAAATTACTCGTATATATAATACGCACAAAATGCTTTTTTTTCTCTTTTCCGTTGAAATCTCTTGTTGCGTCTTTCAAGAAGACGACGAGCGTAATCGAGAAATCTCCTCGTGAAATCACCCGGCGCCGCGAGTGAGTGTGTCGGTTTGCTGAGTATTAAGTTATGGCAAGTCACGCCATAATCGATTCGCATTTGGGGAGAGGGAAAAATATAGACAACGAGAGATATCAGCATATCTTTGCGGCGGTTCACTTCGATTAGAGTTAGATCTTATCGCGAAATGAAGCTTCGCTGTCTTATCATCGGCGGACTTTGCTGGTGGCAAGTCTGAAATTGATGCAATAATTAAAAACAACCCCAAAGGAGGTAACTTATATATTGTGACGGTACACGCCGAAAATGTTTCGGGAATATTTTTATTATTGTTGAGCGATGTTAACAGCTTCAATTGCGTCATATCTCATATTACACGGCTTGCGATCGTGTTGTCGATATTAATGATTCATTGGAATGAAGTATACAGTTAATTATAAACATGTTTGCATTAAATGAAATTTATTTTAATATTTGATTTTATATAATATTTCTATTATTAGTACTATGTTTCTATTATTAAAATATTATGATACATATGTTTAGAGAGATAATATAAGCTAGGATAAATTTATATAAAGATATCATTATTAATTATGATTATTGATTAAATAAATGTTATTTTGTCCGAAAGCTGTGACAAACAATAAAATATATGTCATTTTATTTATCATTTTTATGACTGCTGTTGTATTTATTGCTCTTATTACAATCAAAATCTGTTTTTACAAAATTTATTGTTTTCATGTTGATGCCTTTTTCAAAGTTACATCTCATTTTCGGGTAATAAAGCTTCGCTGCAGTAAGATTTTCGTATAAAAATGTTTGCCGATATACCTATCGAAACAAATATATCAAAATAATTAACTGTATAAAAATAATCATACTTCATGCAATGTGAAATATAAGAAAATATTAATTATAAATTTTTTGTTTTAATATTTGATATAATGGGAAGGGAAATATCTTAAATTTAATATCGTGGAAACTTAGTGTTTGTTTTATGATTCATATGATATTTGTTATTACGTATGAGATACGTGCAGCAGGAAGTAGGATGCTGTTTTAATAAGAATTATCTTTTAGTTGTATTTTTAAAAATATTGTTACGACTGATCCACTCGTCGTTGCCTTCCGAATATGTTCCGAATATGATAGTAAAAGAAGACGATCGTTCTCTACTGACAGAGCACTGGTTGTTAGCTGAATTTCGATTACGAAAGAACTGCGGAGCAGCTGCGATCATTACGAATATACTTTCGATTCTCTTATTGATCTCGTTTTGGTAATCAAGTTTTTTATAAAACGGCCTATAATTTATTACGGGAGTAAGAGTGAATTGTATGAACGACCTCACAACCGTGATATTTTGAGGACTTTTAGGAGCTTTTTATGATGATCACTTTTATGCGAACAAGAAAAATTCTCTCCTTCTTCAGAAGGAGAGAATTCGGTTTTAATAGACACTGAATCGAAAATTTTATTCTGCCCGATTTTTTCAAGAAAATCTGGCCTCAAAATACATTCATCTCTTATGTTTGCTACAAATATTGGAAACTCTGGAAAGAGAATTTCCCTCTAATTCCATTTCTATAGAAAGTTTAAAGTCAACGGGAACCTCTTCCCCAATGAGATATTTTAATTTCCTTTTTTCCCTATACAAATTCATAGCCTGCATGATTTACTAATTGTTTATTAACAATCGAAATATCGGAGCCTGTATCAATCATTTCGAAAATGTATTCTTGTGTGTCAACAAAACTCCAAAAACAAAAATTAGAAAGAATTTTTACTTATATTGCCAAAAGAAAAGTGCCTCTCTTTCGGAATCTCATGTTTCAAGTCTTATTCTAAGCCTCGCGAATTTCCCAGTTTTGTAAACGAGGAATCGTCCCGGAATCCTCAAAATGTCGCGTTCGCGGTAGACCTTCGCACAGTTCACTCTCATTCGCGTAATGAATTATAGATTGTTTTACAAAAAGAATTTTATTAACAAAACGGGAACAAGAGAATTGAAAGAATATTCATAACGATCACTCGTTGCTCCGCAGGTTTGCCGCGACTGAAATCCGCTAAATAACAACTGCCTCGACGCATCGATAGGGAACGATAGTCTTTTCCTCAAATCAATATTTGAAGGGCAAATCAATATTTGATGAGCAGATTACCGCTCAGTCGTAAAAATATTATGAATTAAATAATTATTATTTTGAAATATATAATTATTAGAGAAACATTTTGAAAAATACCTATCAATTTTATCTTCTGACGTTTGTGATACATTACAAATGCTGCCACTGTTAGACCTATAATCAATATAGCAATAGTCACGAAAAACCAAACTTTTTTAGTAGAGATAGTTGGGCCTTTATAATGCGTTATATAACAAGGCAATTCTGAAAAATAAAAGATAGTTAACAAAACTATACAAAATAATAACTATACAAAATAAAGTTGACAATACAAAAGAAAAAATTGACAAAACTAAAATTTTTAATCGGCTTATGTAAAAAGAGATTTTGATGTCTTGAATAATAATAATAAATTTAAAATTATTAAAAATTATTAAAAAAAAATTATTCAGAAGATTTTATTTAAAAAATTTTTATCTTAATTTTATCTCTATTTTCTGTTATCAATATTGAAATTATTATAAACTAATTTGTATAATTAAACATAAAGTTATTTTGAATTAAAAACAAATTATTTAAATTTGCTTTGCAAAATATTTAAATTTATTCATATTTTTCGAAGTAATATGTGATAATAAAAAAAATTTAAAAGCACAAATTACAAATTTTCACAAATATTTACCACAAATTTTTGTCATTACGAATGCAAAATATCTAAATTTATTTTCTAAAATGTAAATACCTGTACTAAGTAAGCACCCGACAAAAATCGTATTGTCTTTATCAGAATGTATTATGTAACACAAAGTATCTTTGTTAAGAGAATTATCACACTGATAACAATTTGGCGCGCTTTTCAGGATTTGCATAATTGTGCTATTTGTATCACGGATCGTAATTCTGTAATTGAATTATAAAATTTATTTAGTAAATTATTGAACGATGTTCTTTGCGAGGTCAAGAATGGGAAATTGGCAAATCCATAATATTCACCTGTTGATATCGTGGTAATCAAAGGCCATCGTTGTGACGCACATGGACGGTTGATCGCAATCCTCTCCTGTCCATCCAAAATGACACTCGCATTTGTAATCGAGGTTGTGGTCGATAACGCATTCGCTGTGTCTACTGCAGTTGCGAGTACATGGGGAAATGCAGTGTGGTCCCGAATCATTGTAGACGTTTTGTACGAAATCTTTGTGACAAATGCAATGGTCCGGACTGATGCAGTCGCCGTTCTGGCAACCTCTCTTGCAAATTGGTTCGCAAAAGCTTTCATTTCGTGGTGTGAACCCAGCGTTGCATGTGCAATAATTCGGCTCTGTACAGTTGCTATTGATGCATGGTGGAGTACATGAAGATACACAACCTTCACCAAATGCGTTCTTCACGTAACCGTGATTGCAGACACAACTGCCAGATATGTCGCACCTCTCGTTAACCTTACATGACAGCGCATTACAAGGACGAAATTCGGTACAAATGCGATCGTCTGAATTATTTTGAGGCTCGGTCCACGATGGAAGATAACCATCATTGCAGGTACATACATTTGGCGCAGTGCATTTCCCTTCGATGCACTTGAAGTCACAAACCGGTTTGCAGTAATTCTCATCATCACTTATGTTCTATTTATTTATTAAAAATCAAATAAGTTCTCTTAAATTTACCATAATTAATAAATATTGTATAAAATATATTTTTTATTTGCGTAAACTTGTTCTCATATATTACTTGGATAATAACGGTAGCTTTATTTCTAATGAAAATCATCGGATATATCGATTATTTTAAATTATAATTTCGAGAACATAATTTTTAATTCAAATTTTAAAAAGAATTTTAAAAAGAAATTTTTAAACACGCAAAGAGTTTTAAGTCGAGTTAAAGAAAATTTTTTTCACTTTTATACATTTAAACTTTACAGCATAATTGCTTTAATGTTTAAATAGTATTGTTTATAATAATTTTTTAGATAATAATCTAATACGATAGTTGCTGAAAATAGCTATAAATTAACTAAAATAATCTTTTATTAATATCAATAAT